GTACACCCTTCCCAATTTTGAACCATGCAGTGTTTCCTTGCTCTGTTCTGACGACTGCCTCTTGGTACAAGTATAGGTTTTGCTTAGCACAATCAAGTGTTCTGGGATTCCCATTCTTCTCAAGAGTCAGCCACAGTTTGTTATGATCGACACAGTCAAGTGCCTTTGCAGAATCAATGAAACACATATAAGACATTCATTCCTCTGGTATTGCCTGCTTTCAGCCAAGATTCATCTAACATCAGCTACAATGTCCCTAGTACCATGACCCCTTCTCAACCCAATCTGGATTTCTAGCAGTTCTCTGCTAATATGCAGTCGTTTTTGGATGATTTTAAGTAGACTCTTGCTAGCATGTGAAATCAATGATATTGTTCTATAGTTTCCACACTCTGAACTTCTTTGGGATGGGAACAAATATAGACCTTTTCTAGTCAGTTGGCCAAGTGGTTGTTCTCCAGATTTCTTGACACAACTTGGTGAGCACGTCCAGGGCAGTATCTGTTAGCTGAAATATGTCAATTGGTATACCATCTGTTCCTGGGGTCTTCTTATTTGCTATTTCCTTCAAAGCAGCCTGAACTTCTTCCTTCATTACCATAGGCTCTTGCTCATATGTTGTTTCATTCAATTCTTCTATGTAGTTGAGAAAAACAAATGATGGGTAACTTTGGGCAAATTTGATGCCAAAGACCTCTTTAAAGGTCTAAGTGGCAAGAATATCACTTTAAGATGCACCTGACCCAAGGCACAGCACAGTATTTTCAACTACTTCATATGAATTTGAAAGGGGGGTCAATGATTACGCAAGACTTAAGATCGGATTCTGAATTGTGCTGGTGAAGAGTACTAAATGTAACACCTAGTGCAAAACAACAAATCTGCTTTAAACAAATGCTGAGATGGAGAGACTTCACGTCACATACTCTAGGAATGTTATCAGGAGGTGTCAGCCACTGAAGAAGAACAGCATGCTTCAAAAAATAGAACGTTGGTAAAAGAGGAAGACCTTCAACAAGATGGACTGATAAAGTGATAACAGTGGGCTTACACACATAGCAGAGACTGAGGGTGGCACCAGATTAGACAAGGTTTCATTCTGCAGTACCAGAGTCTCTGTAAGTCAGAGTTGATGCAACAACAGCCAATACACCCCTTCCATAAACAGCACACTCTCATTTGAACTCAATTCTATTCCTTAGGAGGTAACTTCAATCAGATTTCTGTATTCAAATGGAACTTTGTAAATTGCTAAAAGTATATTCGCAAATAATTATACTTTACAGCAATTAGGGGCAAAGTTCCATTTATAAATTTATAGACAGGGAGGTCTGGTGGCCTATTGGAACGAACTATGCTGCCAATCCAAAGGTACATGGTTCAAATCCACCAGCTTTTCCACTGGACAATGATGGTTGCCGCCCCTGTAATTTACTGCCTCTGAACTCACTGCCCTGTAATTTGCTGCCTCTGAACTCACTGAAGGATCAGCTATGGGTGAGTTCTAACTAGATAATACACATTTATAAAAATGATACTTGGTATGTCTCCTTTCTTGATGACATATTTATTCTCTGATATTAGGCAATATCATAATTTTCTTTTTTACACAAAAGGCTGAAAGGTTTCTTTCTCAATTTTTAATACTTTGGACATGAAGCTAGGCAAGGCTATTTCTTGGAAAGGGACATCATGCTTGCAATGATGGAGGGTCAGGGAAGGAGATAAAGACCTCTCAAACCAGATGGACTGACACAGAGACTTTAGCAAAGGGCTCTAGTGTTAGCGATGATAAGGACAGCACAGGACAGGGCAAGGTTCAAGTGTGTTGTTCAAAGGGTCGCCAAGAATCATACTTGAATTGACAGCTCCTAACAAGAACAAAACAAGATAAGAACCCTACTAGTACAATGATTAAAGCACATGGCTGCTAACAGAAAGATTGGGTGGTTCAGTTCTGAACTAATTGGGGAAAAGATATAGCAGTCTGCTTCTGTGAAGATTTACAGCCTGGGAAATGAAAATATTCAATTCCACTTGGTCCTATAGAATCTGTGTGAACTAAAATGACAATAGATTTGGTTTCATTTTAGAATATGTTGTTAAACTAATCTCTCTTACACAAATACACATCCCATTAAATTTCACTGTAATAACCACTTAACCATGCTATATCTTTTATTTTTAGAAACATCTTCAATGATTAAAATGTCACTTATGGGAGAAGGAAGGGCAATCTCCTCCTATGTGATTAAACACCTCTGAAAACCTGCTCAAGGGTTAGCTATGGGTTCCCACTTGACAGTACACAAGAACAACATTAGTTTGCATACTTTATGATTAAAATATCACTTACTTGGAATACTGTTTGAGTTCTTCTGAAGTATCATCTACAAGATCACTTTGTTTTGCTTCGTATGCCATTGAACGATATATTTTACAGGCAACTAATGCTTTAGCCATTGATTCTTCACCATGCTGCCATAAAAAACGGGCCATTACCTGCCTCTTCATGAGGCAAGCCCAAATTAACAGTTCATTAAGTGGATAAGGAAAGCGTTTGGTTTCAGGATCATCAATATCTACAATATCATCTTTGGTTCTTTTCTTCTTTTCTTCTTCAATAGTTGTATCAATCTTTAAAGGGGAAAAATGTTCAAAGATCATTAAGAAGCCCTTAAACACTGATGTTAATAAAAAAACTTTTAAATTATTTGTTAACTAACTAGTATAACCACATACAATAAAACTATACCTACTTTAACTAATTTTCCCCCCATAACTCATAATTCACTTTACACAACTGACATTTTAATGAGAATGATTTTGTAAAAGTTTTCCAAAATGGAGAAAAAGGCATAAAAATGTCAACTAACTGGTAAAAATATTTTAATAAATGTTTAGGTAACATTCTTACATTGTATATAGTCTTAAACAAGTAAAAAAATCAATATATGAAAATATTCTAAAAATTCAGCTCTTATCATGGCCAAGTATGTGGGGGGGGGAAGTAGTAACATTATTAACTCACAATAAATGCCTTTTCTGTTTGGGAAAAGAAAAGATTCTAATGTCCTAAAGCAAAATACAACTTGAGATTTTCACTGAAACAAGTAGTTTTTTTGCTGGATAATAATACTTTAAGTAGAAGGTGTGCCTAATACAGACCACGGTTTTTGCAATCACTTGTTATGCATCAGAGAGTTGGACAATAACTAGGGAGGACAGAAGGAGAATTGACGCCTTTGAGCTGTGGTGCTGGAGAAGAGTATTGAATGTACCATGGACTGCCAAGAAAACAAACAGATTCATCGTAGAGAGGATTAAACCAGGCTGCTCCTTGGAGGCAAGGATTCTGGGGCTTCATCTGACATAGTTTGGACATGTTGTAAGGAGAGACAGGTCTTTGGAGAGGGATATCATGCTGAGTAGAGTGGAGGGAGAGCACAGGAGGGGAAGACCTTCTATGAGGTGGATTGATTCAGTGACTGGGGCACTCGGGATGGGTGTGTCGGAGGCAGTGAGATTGGCACACGATAGAGCACGGTTTAGGGCTGTTGTACACAGGGTCGCTATGAGTCGCAAACGACTTGACGGCACATAACAACAACAACAACAACAGATTAGAAAGAACAAAATCCAAAAATGAAGAAAAGAAAATGTTTAAGTAAATATACCTTTGGTCGGTAGGGCTGTGCTGTTTTAATGAAATGGTTATGTCTCATTTTGTCCTTTTTATCTGCCCTATTTCCAAAAGATTCATGAGTGCTGCTGGAGGTGTTCCGGCCAGATCTCTGGGGGTGGGGGTGGGAGGGAAAGAGCTTATCAACTTTTACTGATTTAAATCTATTGATATGTTCTAAAATTCAAGAATCACTTGACTTAATATATCTGGAGGTAACACACACAGAGACACATATACATTGTGATACTTTTAGGTTTTCAATTACATAGATTTCCAATTATTCCTGGTTGAAAAGAAAATCTTTTCAGTGTCATTTTATTCTTACCATCCTAATAATTAACTTTTCACATACTAATTTTAAAATACATACATATATACAGACTACCCCTAAAATTTTACATACCCGATTATTTCCACCAAGACTATTATATATTAAACGAAAACGTTTCCGGGTGTAGGTGCATCTATAGGTTCCTCCCATGAGGTACTCAATAACAAGTCCTATATCAATTAGGGTGATTTTATATCCTGGAGGAAGATTGCCCTGGAAACAAAAACAAATAATTAAAAACAGTATTTTTTTTTAAAGCGTAGTATTTCACCAATAATTCCACATCATGCCCAAAATGGGCCTCTCAAAATGAGGTTTACACTTATTATAGACAGAAGCTATACTACGTTATTAGCCAGTAGTTACCTTTAGATGATGTGAGTCATCTAAGGGATTCAGAAATTTTTGAAGTTTCAAAGGTGTGGCTCGTGATCAGGGAATGGGAGCAACAGGAAGTATGAAAAATATTACCTCTTTCCATTGTTTTTACTTACCTTTTAAAAAAATTTTATTATTTTTGTGTGTACTGTCAAATTGGATCTGACTGGTACAGGAGGAGACTGCCCCTCCTTCTCCAGCAGGGCATCTGGTGAATTTTAACCATGTATATCGTGGATTGCAGTGCAGCTTCTTGCCACTAGGCCACCAGAGGTCCCTCCACTGCTTTTAATATTTCACATAAAAATCTTTAATAGTCAAGTACTGGATTTTCACTGTGGTGTACCAAAATGCGATTTCAGACTGGTCCAACAGTACTTGCAGGTACTTTTAATGAAGCATATATAGTTATTAGCTGTAATTTCACTAACTCACTGCCATCGCTTCAGAACCTCTTCATAGCTAACCGTCCACTGGGTTTTAAGCTGCTGCACATCACACAGAACGACATTGTCCATCTTTCCCCCACAGAGCAGTGGGTAGATTTAAACTGCCTGTCTTTGGGTTAGCAGCACAATGCCTCCATTAGGCCATCAGAGCTCCCTGTATGTTAGTGATGCTGCTGTTGTTAGGTGTTGTCAGGAGGACTACGACTCACTGTGACCCTATGAACTATAATCTAAACCTTACCCTATCCTGTGCCATCCTCATTTCTGATATAATTGAGTGAATTGTTACAGTCACTAAGTCACCTTGTGAGGGTCATCTTTTCTTTTGTAATCCTCTACCTTTCCAAGTATGAAGTCCTTTACCAAGAATCAGCTGCTTCTAACATGTCCAATGTATGTGAGAGAAGACTTCACCAACCTTGCCTCCAAGGAGCACCTGACTGCACTTTCTCCAGGGCAAATTTGTTCATTCTTTTAGCAACCCATGGGGTATTCAGTATTGTTCTCTAAAGCCACACGTCAAAGGTACTGATCCTCCTTCTGTCACCTTTAGTCACTGTGCAACTTTACAGCAACTGAAAAGACCATGGCTTGAAATAGGTGCACCTTAGTCCTTTGACAGCAATGCCAAAATACCTAAACATTAGAAAGGTTCTTGACAGCAGACTTGCCTAATGCAATATGTCTTTTTTTTTTTACATCCAACAAGAAGCCATAACTTTATTAATTAATGATAGAAACAGTACAAATTTCATTGCCGATACCAAGGATGCAAGTAAGATGCAATCACTGACAACTTCAATCTTTTTCTCCTTCTATCATGTATCATGGTGTTGTCTCCTGGCCCAGTGGTGAGGATTCTGTTGTCTCCTGATGTTGAGCTAAAATTCACATTGAAGGTTGTAATTTTTCATCTTCTGCAGCAAGGGTTTCAAGTTCTCCTCACTTTAAACAAGCGAGGTTGTGGCATCCACATAATGCAGGTATCTTCCTGATGCCACATTCTTCTCCATGAAGTTCATCCTCTCAAATGATTTGCTCAACAGGTTTGCTGGTGGTTAGGATTCTATACTCTCAAATGATTTGCTCAGCATACAGAATGAAAAGGTATTGAGAAAGATATATTCTTGATACACACCTGTTTTTATTTTGAAGTATGCAGTGTTTCCTTGCTCTGTTTGCATGGCAGTCTCTTGATCTAGGTATTGTTAGGTGCTGTCAAATATGACTCGTAGCAACGCCATGAATATCCAAACCTGTTCCATCCTACATCATTCCCTCACTTCTTGACTAATACACAAGAGCCCACTGTAGCAGTCACTGTGTCAAACCACCTGGTTGATGGTCATCATCTCCTTCATCGATCTTCCACCCTTCCCAGCATCATGTCATTCTCCAAGGAATAGCTCCTCTTAGCAACATGCCCAAAGTATGTGAGGTGAAGACTGATTATTCTACCTCCAAAGAGCACTTAGGCTGCACCCTCTCCAAGACATAACCATTTGCTCTCCTGGCCATCCATGGGATATCCCATCCTCTTCTCCAACACCCAAGCTCAAACGCATCAGTTCTTCTGTCATCTTTATACATTGTCCAGCTCTCAGATGCATAGCAAGTAATCAGAAAGACCATGGCCTGAATCAGACACACCTTAGTCCTCAAATTGACATCATTACTCCTCAACAATTTGAAGATATCCCTAACAGCAGATTTTCCCTGTACAATGTGTATCCTTATTTCCTACCTGCTGGTACCTAGGGTGTTAACTGAGGATCCAAGCAAGAAGCAGCCTTGATTTAGGTATAGATTTCACATAAGCACAATTAAGCGTTTTGAGATTCCCAATCTTACCAATGCTAGCCATAATCTGTTATATCCAGGTAGTCAAATGCCAATAAAAAACAAACAGACATCCTTCTAGTAGTCTCTACATTCAGCCAATTCCACTTGATATCGGCAATGATAACCTTGGTGCCATGACCTTTTCTAAATCCAGTCTGAATTTCTAGTAGTTTTGTCTATGTACTGTTCTATCCATTTTTAATAATCTTCAACAAGATTTTATTTGTATATGATATTTTCTGGTAATTACCACATTCTCTTGGATCATACAAAATAACATGGATCTTTTCCAGGCCATTAATCAGGTAATGCTCTTCCAAATTTCCTGGCACAGCCTGTTTTGCACATGTAGGGCTGTACTTGTTTGCTCATATGTGTCAACAGGTATTCTATCAACGTATGGGGCCTTATTCTTTTGCTAACACCTTCAGTGCAGCTTTAACTTATTTCTTCCTTCATCATTACTACTTCCTGACCATATGCTACTTGCTGTAGCATATGTGTCCACTAATATTTTTGGTACCGTAACTTAGTATATTCCTATATTCTTTTGATTGTTTTTGGATCATTCTGGATTTTGCCCATGGCATCTCTCAGCACTGCACCTCAAGATCTGAATTGGTTTTTCTACCAAGCTTGAGAAACGCCAACCAAGTTCTTTCTTTTCTGTTTTACATCTCCAACTCTTTGCACAGTTCATTATATTTTATTTTAGCTATAGTATACATTTTATAATGCTGTATAGTCATATCTGGGACTTAGCTACCATCTGAACCATTATTAATACTTTTATTTTACCAGAGTGATATTTGACTCACAAATTAACTTTTGGAATAGAAACGATTTGTGATTATGGAAAGATTCCCAATTTTAGAATGATAAGTTTAATTAATGTCATTAGATAATTTTAAAAACGCTTAATCATCTAAGTTATAACACAGAAAATAAAGTATATAATGGACAGTGAAGTTTTGAACTCATCTGGATTTATTTTCCTACTAGACAGATCGCTTATATTTATCCACTCTGACTTATTATCACTATTCTTTCAATGTTCTTGATTAGTTTCAAATGAATTTATTTTTTAAACATAACTGCTGCGATATTTAGTACTTTTCATAGGTGAATAAGTGATTAAAAGCACATGGTCAATGCACTGCCTTTGAGCCTCTGGCGCGCCTGCCTGTGGCACCAGGGGTTAAGCTGCAGCGCAAGAGCATGAGTTTGCGCATAACTGGGGCCCCAGCCCGCTGCAGGTGGCCCTTTTAACCACAGCGACACATAAGCAGACCAGGCCTCTGCCGGGGTTCCCATCTTGGGTCTCAAGTCTTAGGATGATCCCGTGGCAAACGGAGAGCAGACTCCTTGACTAACTGCGTATCGTGTGTATACTGCTAATTAGTTGGACTAGCATGCGTGGCAACTTAACCAGTCCTTGGCTGTCACCAATAAACTTTAGGTGTTATTGAGGAAAAAAAAAAAAACAGCACATGATCATCAGGTATTCAGAGTAGTAAAAAATTAGGTAAAATAATGGTATACTTGCCAAATTTACTTAAAGTATTTCTGTCTTTTTTTTTTCTTAATTAAATTTTATTAGTTTTAATGAACATTTACAGGGATTTGGGGTTTTCATTCCTTCATTGCTGCACCATTCTCTCTACCCTCCTCCCCAGTTTGTTCTTCTTCCCCGCCCCCCCATGTCTGTTTTAATTGTCCAAATGCC